GTGCTGGTCTGCAGGCTTTGGCTTCTCCATCAAGAGTAACTGGTGAAGAGCAGCAGATACAACAAACCAGTTCTGCCTGCATGCACACCACCGGTAACCACCAGCTGCTTGGCATGTGCATAATTAACCACCTCACTAATGACACCAGGGAGCAGCAGCACTCCCTCCCACCAAAAAAACCTGATCAGACTCTCAAACAGCCTCAGCTGAAACGTGACTCGTTCACTCCTCTCCCGCATTAATACACAGGGCCTCTAATTGCTGTCACACATACCCATGAAGCGGACAGCAATTTGAAGTAATTTACACTCCACTCGCAGGAAAAGCCAGCGGGGCAATCCTAACAGCACCCCAGTTTCAGGGGAGGGCCCGGCGAGCCTTCGTGCGCTGCGATACAGCAATGCTCAAGCAGCGCTGCGCCGAGTACGACGTGTTAAGACTCCGCACATGGACTGGTACCACAGCGGAGCCGCACCCCGGGCTCGAAGGCAACAACTCCACCAAGGAGTTGGGTTCGACTGCTTTACCCGACACTTGATTCTTGCTTATTAATCCTTTAAAGGGTTACTGCCCTCTTCAACATCACTGTTGAGCTAATGTACTCGTTTTGGAACAATGGGGACAGGAGTTAATTCATTCCTTCTCCCAACGGTGTTTCCTTCAGCAGGAACAAAACGCGATGGATTCGGCATGCTCACTGCAGTCCCTCCCACACCTGAAATAATCAATATCCCCCAGGCCTAAAGCTTTTCTTGGGTGGAGGTGTTTCTTCAAAGCGTTTTAGCCAGTTAGCAGACACTTCAGGAATGACCGTAATCCACAAAGTTTTAGTACATATTATTTTGATTCAAGAGGCCACAGGCAAAACACAAAAATATTACTCATTTGCTAATTAAAAGCCAAAAGCACTAACTGTACAAATCTAACAGCTCTTTCCATAAAGATTTTTCCTCCAGTGTTGGATCTTCTGTTTGACATTAGCTCATGTCCAGAGAGCAAAACTTTCCAAAGGAAAACAGTAAAATCCCTTTTTCTAAGAAGCCTTTCACAAATCAAAGGAAGCTTTTGCCCAAGTACACACAGGCAAACAAGATCAAAAGGAAAGCGGGGTTAAACAATCGTTCTCAGTTGTATAATAGGAGGAAAACACATCAATCGTGAGGCCCTACCCACGTTCCTCATTTCAGTAGCTGGTGGAAGGACAAACAAGCTGAAGAGCTCCTATTGCTTAACCCCTGCAGAATCGGGCTAGAGGGCTGTGCCACCCAGCAAGGCTGTTCCTTATCATGCGAAGCTCTTCAGGATCATTAAAGCCCAGCTGATGGTCCTGGGAGCACCTACAGGTGTTGTGCCTAACACTGGCAGCGCCTCAAAATCCCACAACATGAAATGACACTACAGGTACTGGAAAAGCGCAGCCAGCCTGCAGCCTCTCCCAGCTAGGACCCGACAAACTCAGCCCCTCATCTGTACTTTTTGATGCACTGAAAGGATTTAAGTGAAAGAGGCTGGAGGCAGAATAGCTTGCTGAGGAAATCAGCCACCTTGAGAAAGAAAAGCAAAAAAAAAAAATCTTTGGGTTCCTCGAGGCGGCTGCTGAAAGCAGAGCGGCTCTCAGCACACCAAGCTCACGTCGCGCTGTGCGGACAGCGTCGCCTCCGCACCTACAGAAGCGGAGGACGATCTAACAGGGAGGTGGACAGCCCTGTGTGCGACCACGGCGCAAGGGCGTTATGTGCCCTCGGACTGGGCAAGGCTCATCTGAAAAAGCAAGCCAAGCAGCCCAGGTTAGACGCCGTGGTGCCCCATCCCTCCTGCCTCCAGCACAGCCTGCCCGCTGGCGCACGCTCAGCACAAGACAGACTTTATCCGCCCCATCCCCAATTCCACGGCCGGCTTCCAGAGCCGTGGGACAAGCAGAAGCAACATCCACAGACCGGATCAAACCCCTGCTCGCCCCGCTCCCGCCACCCGTACCTTCAGCCTGCGAGGAACATGGCAAGATCTCCTGGCTTGCCACGTCCTTGGCGCTGCGTCAAGTCCTACAGCCCTATAAAATGTATAATCGAGAATCGCAGCCGACTGCAAGCCTCCGCTTCACGACTGAAAGCGGCTCAGGGAACACAGTTTGTTGCTGCAGGTTGCTAAGCCATGGCAACGACTTCTGGGCGGGGGGGGGCCCTGCTCTAAGACATTCTGACAGGGTGGCCTGACCCAGCGCTGCTGAGCTGCCCACCCAATTCCTGCCACATCCCTTCCGTACTTTTTTTTTTTCAGATCAAGCCCTTCTAAAGCTCAGGAATTCGATCTGCAGCGCTGTGAAGGGGCTTTGTCACCTCAGGACTGCCAGAGGGGCAGAAATAATACGCCAAACCCCACAGATAAGCAACAACACGGGGGCGACGGGGAGAACGCTCAAAGCTCAGCACCATTTTCATGCCGGGGAAGGAAACCTTGCGGCAGATTTCCACCAGACAGCATTATATTCCTCCAAAAATATTTCAACAGGAGGAGGATGCAGTCCTTACCAGGGCTACACCCACACTTCGGTCTCCTGTCCCGGCCGAGCACTCGCCTGCCTTGCAGAGGCTGCAGTACCGCAGCTGCGGCGCTGGGGCGAGCGCCTGCCCGTGGCCACCGGCACACGAGGCTGTCGCCGATCACCCTCAGGAACGGGGATACGCTCTGCCCAGGTGCCGCAGTCAGAAGGGCAGCCTCCCAAGCCTCAGGTTCCTATGCTCCAGGTTTATTAGAAGAGAAACGTTCAAGATGCAGGCAGAAACACACATTGCAGGTTTTGTTCTTTCTGCTACAAGCTTAGAATATTCTTCCCACTTGCTGCATTTCGACACTGCAAAGTCTCTTTATTTTGCTTGAGCTCTGTCTGCAGCAGCCTCTGCCTACCAGGAAGCCAGGCAGGAGCTAAACGAGGTCCTGTGACTTGGGGTACGAGTTCCCATTAAAAACTACTCAAGCCACCAGCTGCCAGGGCACCGGCTGCGCTCCCCAGCTGTCGCCTGAGCTCCAACACATCCCACAAACCCCAGAGATCACGGAGGAATGTGGCGCAGCCCGCTGCCGCAGCCCGCAGCGTGTCTACAGGCAGATGCAGCAAGACCAGAGGAAGACGTTGCCACCGACAGCCCAGAGGCAGGAATCCAGCCCCAGCCTATTTCTGCACGGCTGCACGTTCCCCATCTGCGACGGCAGAGGCACCGGCAGGCTCTGACCGGGACGGCGCCTCGCACACGTGCCGGGCCCTGCACCCACGAGAAGTGGGTTCTCTGGAGAGCGTTCACGGCTACAGATAAGGCAGAGAAGGATGCAAAGGTCTGCGAGGCAGGTTTCCCTTCGTTAGATAAGCGGAACAAGCCACTTGTTAACAGCTGGGGCCAACGCTGGAATTACACAGCACAGCTTTACCCAGCTCTGCCAAGCCTTTTATTTTCTGGTCCATTTCTTATGGTGTCAAGACACCAAGAAAATGGAAAGCCTAAATCTGAAGTTAAACTAGTTTATGTTTTGTGGTTTTTTTTTTTCCCACCCTCAGAAACAGCAGATGTAAATCACAGCCAGCGAAATGTCTGAATACACACACTCAACTATATAAAGCATCCCACATCGCTGCTCCGTCAGGAGCCTGTCCCCTCCCCACGCTAGCTGCTCTGGCAGAAGTGGAAGCAATGCCTTGTCCCAAAGGGAACCAGCTGGGCAGTTCATTTAAACAGGGCCGACGTGCTGCTCCGGTACCTGCCACAGAAAGGCAGACCTGGCAGGCAGGAGGACGCCCGGCAGCCGCCGCCTCCACCAGCAGCACCCCGAGCACGGGGGCAGGCCCCAGCTCCTCAAACGGGAGAGGACTGCCAGGAGCCCAGGGCAGAGCCCGGACCTCTCGCTGAGACTGCTCAGCGGCCTGGCCCGCACAGGTCGGCCAAGTCAGACCCACCTTCGGCTATCAGCACTACCGTTGTACCGAGCGAGTCCAGACCAACTGCCACAGGGAAATCGTAACGTCAGACGAGCAAAGAGCTTTTTGCCTTCACTCTAAAGCATCTGGATGCAAGGATCTCTTCAGACTTGGTGAATAATCCCAGCCTCACAGCAGAACAGCAAGGATCCTATTCAGTAAGGAGTGTTTCCTGTTTTCTGCTGCGAGGAGCCCACACAAGCTGTGAAGCCCCAGCAGTTGGCCAGTCACCAAGATCAGCGAGAAAACGCAGGCAGAGAACTGCTGAGCAGCGCGACTCACGGCTCGCTTTTACCTTTAGCTCTGTTTGAAGTTCGCTTTGCATTGCCTCCAGCTGCCTCTGCAGCCTTTTGGGATGCCTCTCCAGAACTCCAGATTCACCAGCAGGTTTTGTTAACAAAGCACCTTCCCTGCAAGTCACAGGGAACCTCGCTCGCTCTCGAGCGCTCTGGGAATTCCAGTGTCTGCCCTACTCCTTCTAGAGCACCACGTGAAATAAGAGATACAGAAATCAGGCAGGGGCAGTTTTTAAGCCAGTTTGGCAGGACTTATTTTAAACCTCTGAAATTTAAGGATGATCTTGGTATTTCCCTGTAGACATTAATTTACAACAAAGGTTCTTTAACGGCTTTAGAGCTAGAGCTGTGTCCTTCACTGTGAATCTGCACAGACCCATGAACAGCAGGCTGTGATCTCTAAACAGGGATCTAGGTAAATCTGCCAGAGGAGAGACCAGGCAGCTACAAGCTGCAAAAACAGCCATACAGGCTGCACTATCAGCTGCAACAGGAGGACTGTCAAGCATAGAGATCCTTCTTGTTAACGGAGAAAAAACAAAGTTTTCACATAAATACGACTTCGAAGTTAACAGCAGCAGCCAACCAAAAGCCCTGAAAGCGTATATAAAGCAACATCCCATACAGCTGCTGACGTAACTCTAACTGTTCATGTGTCTGAGGCTCCACATGCGTGGAAGAAGGACAAACTCATCCCCCATGCACAGATGGAGAAAGTTGAGAGGTACTTGATTTACCTTCCGTGGCAGAATTCCTCCCTAAGTAGCAAAAAGGCAGGGCTGGGCTGGGTTCACTCTTTTCAGGGAGACGCTCCCAATGGCCCATCTTTTCCCCTTCCTCTTCTACAGTTTAAAATGTCGTTCTTCAAGGGCCAAGAGCCGCTGCGACGCAGGAGTCATAGGGTCAGACAGGACAGATCTAGTCACAGGGAGGAAAAAAAACAAAAGGAACATAAGCATGGTAAAAATTGAGGCGGAAGGCTGTGCCTGGCCCTTCATCCCCATCTCAGGGCCCAGATGAAGACACCTCTCTTCCTCCACACACAAACCCAGGCCTTCAGCCCCACAGAAGAAACTGTGCCTTCCAACAGGAGACCTGCACTTCCCTTTGCAACTCTCCTAAAAAGCAGAATAACCTGTGCAGAAAGCACCAAGCGCCTGCAACATGAGCCCTGTACGCCTCGGATGCAGACACACATTCCCCTGGGGCCAAGGGTCTGGAGTCGATCACGAGAACAGAGAACCACCACCACATCTGAGCCCGCTCCTTACCTTGTCTTCCAACCATATAAAAAATTACTCCGCCTTGCCTTTTTTTTTTTAATTTAAATGGCAAGAAAGAGGTTGCTCCAGAGCCCCCACCCAGTCTTAGACAGCCCTCACGCATCCCAGCCTCCCCAACAGGCTGAGCACGACCGAGCTGGTGATCCAAACATCAGTTGCCTCCCCACAGCACTTTGCTTCGGAAATTCCAGCCCAGGGCTAGACTCTGCTCGCCTCAAACCCCCGCGACACTCGGCCGGGAGAAAAGCTGGGACGAGAGGCGCTTCTGGCAGGATCGCTGCACTGCAGGAGTGCACCGTGCGCGGGGAGAGAAACGTTTGCCCAGTAGGTAAAGTTGCAGCTTTTAAGTTACGCAATCCTGCTAAAAATAGTTTTCCCAAATGCCACCTTAAGATCTTCTGACACAAATCCAAGTTTTTCTTGCAACTCCTCTGCTCGCTCTAGCGATGCAAACATTGACAGCAGGGAAGTGTGAATCTGAAAAAAACTGCTTTAGTTTTATCTGCTGGTCTTGGCAACAAGGATTAAACCGGCTCAGAAATACCCCCTGGACCTTACCACGGCACTGAACTGGGCACAAAGAACACCTGGCCCCCAAAGCCACCGCAAGCCACAGCATTATTATTATAACAAAAAAGTTTATCTGATGCTGTTGCATTTTTGTACATTTTTACATTTATCACTTAAGACTGTATTACAAAAGACTGCAGCCCTTCCTGTACGATGAGATGCCGCCCAGCTCAGTCGAGATGAGCCGCCTGCTTTGTGAAACCTTGTCGCAAATAAAGCCTTATCCCATTTAATTACCGACTTCCCTCTACTTCCTACCTTCCCCAAACAGACAGACAGGCTTTGCGACGTGCTCTGAAGGTCAGGACTCCAAGGACGGGGAAGCCGCGTGCGTTCCCCACATTCCTTCGTTGTGAGCGACGGGCGCTCTCCTTCCACGGCTGCTGCGTGCAGGGGATTCCCCCCTCGCCCCGGTGCACCCCGGCCCCGCCGGGGACCAGGAGGGCCCGAACCCTCACCGCACTACAGCAGCGCCCAGAGGCTGCGAATAATTTGGCACTGGAGCAACTTTCAGCCCAATTAAAGTCTTTCCTTCAAAAAGTCCGTGCGGGGGGGAGCCACGAGAAGAGGAACTGCGGGTGAAGCCCAGGTGTATTTACCACGCTGTACGAGCGGGTGGAACCAGCACCTTCGCAGGCCACGGTGGTTTGTTTTTTCCACGCCACCTTTGCGGCCAAGCCCTGCCTCCGCGTCCGAGCCCCCTCGGGCTCCGGCAGCCCGGGACACACGGACGGGGTGGGCAGGGCTGGTTACCAGAGACCCACCGCGAAAGCCCCGCCG